GTTAAAGTATTTCAAAACCTCAGAACATGTTAATCCACTGAATGGCATACGTCTAGTCAGTTAAATGCCGCCATTGCTAAATACGATTGACTGCTATGAGGATAAGCTGGTTGAGTAGTGGCCAGATTATCCTTGTTTGTCGGTTGCATAATTTTGAAGAGGGTGTAATCGCCAGCAGGCTTTACAAGAAATTGCAAAACAATATCATGAAAAAACATTAACAGAGAATGTGCTTTTATTATATACTTTTTTTTTTTTTTTAGCTCAGCACTTAGCTCAGTTTGACCACACACGGTGATATTTGTTTAAGCCACGAGCTATGCAAACGGCGTCAAATGACCTTTTGCTCATCACGTAGCTCTCGCGCGTGGCGGACATAATTCATTATAATTCCTGGGTGTTGAACTGAAGTCAAGCTATTGAAAATTAACCCAATTCCAACTTCGTGGACTCCTAATACATCTAAATATTTAGGCGGGTCTCTCCCCTTAACAACAGCCACAGCTAGTTTAATACACAATTTTACATCTAAGTTGGGGGTCGCTACCCGTTATACATACAAGAACAAGTTATACAATATAAGTCTGACAATTAAATATTCACAATACTTTAAATTCGAAAAGTGACACCAACAGAACCCGACCTAAACCAACCTAATTCAACCCAACCCAACCCAAAACAACTGAGTGTGGCAATGAATCCCATAATATACATGTCTGGCTGGCAGAGAGAGTTGCAATATAGTCTTTTTTTTTAAATTGAGTGAAGACAAATATGTCCTTTTATCATCAGTCACAATATTTGTTTAGCCGCTAAGCATGTCACTGTCTTGCTATATTAAATGAAAACAGATTATTTCTCTGCACATCCTTGGCGAGTTTACGCTTTAGTACGTTACGTGAGCATGGGAATTATTCCTCCTCGATACACTTTTCAGTTTTTACAGTTATTATGCTTTGTTTGCTGCCAAGCCTCTCTGTGAAATGGATACAGCCAGATAATGTATTTCTTTAAAGTCATAATGGTAGCATCGCAATGTTCACTCTGTTACTACCATGCTTTTTGAGGCGGTTACAGAATGCTACCTTAAAACCTTGCTTGCATTTCTTGTATTTGGACTCATAGATGATTGGATTGATGACTGAATTGAAATTATACAGTAAATTAGAGAAACTTCTGATATAGTTGATGGCCTTCGATCTACAGAATAAGAACTGACGATCCTTCTGGTCGACCGTCAACGTTATTTTGGCCCGCTGAGGATGCCCGTTTCATTGCGGAGTTTGCAACATCAGACGTCCTACCTACACAAACCTGTTTTTTTTTTTAATTAAGTTAAAATTACAAGCACTCTCCATAAAAGCTTAAATTGAATCATGTTCTTCACATGAAACTCAAGTTACATTTTATACACAAAAACTCAAACAATGCGTTGATAACAGGGCACATTTGCAACGTTCTACGACAGTTATCCACATACATACTTTCAATTTTGAATTGAGAACTGCAAACCAATCAACATAAATATTGAACGGTTATGGCGAATACCTTTCGTTTACATTTAATATGCGGTGACGAAGAGACGAGAATAGCCGCAGCCTACCTACTTTATGGGACTCTTCCAAACAGTGCAAGCAAATGGACAAACTCAGTTCACAAAGAACCTACAACTATTCACTTTACTGCTCGTACAAACCATACCTGGCATAGAATGCCCTGACGTAGTGTCGGCCCTGGTCTCGCCTCCAAGTGCCTAGCCAACGCGCTACTTTTGAATTTATACCCAAAACTGATGGTTTAAACATATTTCAAAACCTCAGAACTGTTACGTAAATCCACGGACAAGCATAAGTATGGTAGGTTAAGTTAAGCTATTGTTAAATCCGTATTGGACTAACGGCTTCTACATTGTAATCCCTAGGTGTTGGACTGAAATCAAGTCATGATAAGATTAACCAAATTCAAACTTCGTGAACTTCTAACACTTCTAAATAAAATCAGTTTTGGGGTTTCTCCACTTAATACAGCTACAAAACGGTACACAATATTTAAATTCAGGCTAGGGTCGCTACCCGTAATACACACGAAGAGAAAAAAAAGTGATACAATAAGTCTGACAAGTAACAATCAGAATTCACTTGTATATCAAGTTGTGACACCAATTGCCCACTCCAACCTAACCTTACCCAAACAAACCCGACCTAACTCAACCCAACCCAACCCAACCCAACCCAACCAAACCCCAACCCTACCCAACCTAACCCAACCCAACCCAACCCAACCCAACCCAACCCAACCCAACCCAACCCAAACCAACCATCCCATCCCATCCCAACCCACCCCAACCCACCCCAACCCAACCCAACCCAACCAAACCAAACCAAACCCAACCCAACCCAACCCAACCCAACCTAACCCATCCCAACCCACCCAACCTAGCCCAACCCAACCCAACCCAACCCAACCCAACCCAACCCACCCAACCCAACTCAACCCGACCCAACCAAACCCAACCCAACTCAATCCAACCCAACAACGGAGCTCAAATTGTATTTTACCTGTGAATGTACCTCATGCACAAGTGCAATACCCTCTAGTCTCTGGGTTACAGATCATGAGAGTAATTTAGAGATTCAGTTATAGCCAAACACAGTAACAATGGTTTGTTGACCATGTTACGTGCCCGATAGTCAACCATTGCAAATACCTACTTTAACAAGGACAGTCGTTATGAAGGAATAAGCGTATTGTATTAATAGCAATAACTTCACTATTGGTACGTTATGTCACAGCAATAATAATTGCTGTAATTATCGGATAAGATTTAATCAGTTTGTTTTTTTACAGAACAGCATCAACAGCGTAAATCATGTCCGATAATTAGTAAGAAATCGGGACGATATATTTACTTCATGGCGAAGTGGTTGAGTCAAACGTTCATTGCTGCTTAGGTTAAGGTTCGAAGGCCAACCAACCAACAGAATGCCGACAGTAACTATATCACAACAAAGCATCATCCTTACCCTTTACAAGAAAAAAAAAACTTTACTGCTATTAATTTACAGCACAACTTTTGCAACAAAGTTTCATTTTTTTAACCTTAGTTTTAACCCTGTAAAATAAAATAGAAATGACAACACCCTCATCAGAGCGATCAGAATTTCATTCGTGATGCTGTTTGTTTCCTGGCATTATGCAACGGAAGCAAATGAGCAACATACGTTAAATTCATGAAAAAAAAATATGTGTAGCCACCGCAACTCACAATTTTTCGAGGCGTGGCAGCCATTTGTTATTGTAATATTCATAATTATGTGGCCGATTTCTTACAATGTTAGTTGGCTGGTAACCCACAAATGTACTGACCAATATTGACCTTGAATCTAGTGGCGGCGCCAGACTCTAAACATTTTTTTTTTTTGGGGGGGGGGGGCAATTTGAGGGGGCAGGAAATAATTTGGGGTGGGGCAGTCAAAAAATCTCAAACCTGTGTACGCGCGGGTGTACCATTGTCCATGGTCCGGAAATCAGCCACTAGAACAGCTCAGAGGTGTAGTCGTTTTTATGAATGAGAAATGTATAAAACCGCAGGATGGTGCATAACAAAATGTATAACAAATGTACAAAGACGTTGGCTGCACACTATCTACGGCTGTATAAATTGAGTGTATCGTCTTAAGTACCAAAAAAAAAAAAAGCTTTATGTATTAACGGTCGATTTTGTTAAGGTAAAATACTCATATATTGCAGCAGTTTAGAGATACGGATCACAATCATTCTATAATGATAGAACCAGCAACTTCGGTCAATATAGATGAGGCACAAAGGCATCTGTTTACGAAGTAAGGGCTTGCCAAGCAGTCACTTGCACCTACAATGGCGCGGCCGTACTCTAACACGTTCGAAGAGCTATATATTTTAAAGGTCGATTTAAAAATACTCATCAGAGATCCTGAAATGCCTTCTCCTGGTGAATGGGGTGGACAATTTCATCGAATTGGAAGCCATTGTAGACCATGCTTCCCAAAGGTGTGTGCATACAATTGTGAAATGTGTTACGGAGAAAGTGTTATATGATAGAGGTACTTAAATTTTATACACATTCGTCCCCGTACCGGTACAACTTGTCAGCTTCTTGTTTATCCTATACCCACCATTGACGAAAATAAGCAACTTTAAGTAAAATGCTCTTGTGTGAAGTTATAGTGTTACCAAATGAGGTCACTTAGGTAACCTGTCAACTAACTTTGTAATACAATCGGCACAGATTATAAAATTACAATTGTGGGTACGAGCACGCATCCACATTATTAAAATGGCTGACACGCTCTAAAATGGTGAGTTTGCGATTCCTGTTTTTTTTCCCTCATGAATATACAATTGTCTGTGTGCAGAAAAGTAGACATATTATTATGATGTTGAGCATAATGAGCACCGTGCCCCTAACTGTTTAAGAGGCGTTTATGTTTCATGCGTTTACGAAAGGTAGGCACAATTTCTTAAACGTGGGAATGAGTATCCACTACATTTTTTTTTAAATGGCTGCCACACCTCTGAAAGGGTGATTTCCTATGGCTCCGCATCTGGATTTGTTTTGATAATGAATATAAACGTCTGTGAGACCATTCACGCGTTTATAAAGGGTGGACACATTATTTTCGATGGTTGGCATAATGAGTCCCGCGTTTAGGAAAAAAAAATCATGTATACATATAAGTCTGCATGAAATGTGAAAGGTGGGCATAATTTTTGTTTAAAGGTAGGCGTAATGAGCCCCTCAATTCTTCAACTGGATGCCACACCCCTCAAAGGGGAGCTTGGGATGGCTATCAATCTAAAACATTTATTCTCATGGATATTAACAATTGTGCAACGTTTCAAGCTTGTATGCAAATGTCACAAATTGTACACATATCCGCAGGACTAGACATGATACCTGTTAAATGTTCTACCTATACTGTCATTGAAGAAATATAGAAAGATAATATTTTTCTCAAAAGTCATAATGGTACCATCTCAATGCCAACTCTGTTACCACCATGCCTTTTGAAGCAGCAGCAGAATGCTACCTTAAGGCCTTGCCTGAACTTCTTGTATTTAAACTCATAGATGAAAGGATTGATAACTGAATTGAAATTAAACAGTAAATTTGCGAAAACTCTGATATAGTAGAAGCCCTGAGATCCACAGAACAAGAACTGAGCATCATCTGTTCGATGCAAACAGAGAAGGACAGCAAAATATTCCATTGTCCATAAGACAATGAGAGCTCCCAATACAGTTTTAAGCATGCTGACAAGTTTCTGTCTAGCAATTAATAGTTCATAGGCTGCTGCCTTTGCATGTTGCAGGTTCAGGGCTTTGACTTGTATTTTGAGAGTGACCTGCATCTTATAATAGGCCAAGCTCATCAATGTTAGGGGCAGCAAATATGTGAAGAGAAATATAAATATGCCGAGTAGAATAGGTAATGACGGGTGAGGATATTTGATTGAGCACATCTCATTGGGGTCATTGCTTGGCTCGAATGTGAATAAAGTAGGTAAAGATATCAGAAATGATATCACCCACACCAATGTAATTAAAGCAACCATCCTTGCTGTTGTGAGTTTCCTCGCATAGTGTAGAGGGTGTACTATGGCAATGTACCTCTCTAATGTAACCACACAGAGATTGTAAGCAGAGGCAAAGGATAACACCAATGCCAAATACTTTGATGCTAGAAGTCGGCAGAACAAGTCTCTCACGCCGTTGCTTACTGGAGCAAACTCAATAGGCGTACAGTCTGATGTTAGATAATAAAGAAATTCTTGCAGACACATCAGCATATCAGCAACAGCCAAATTCACCAGCAGGTAGTTCGTCATGTTGTGTAAGAATTTGACACGTAGGATGACGTAGCACACTAGGAAGTTTCCTAAGACACCAATAACTCCTTCTGCTGCCATGACCTGACACACCCACTTCTCTCCAGTTGGTTCCTCATTGTGTTCATCAGTAGCATTCATGTTTAATATTTGTGTTGATGCTAATCTATATACAATTGGTGTGTACAGTGAGTAGTTTTATTAGGATGCTCTAATAATGGCTTCAACTGTCACACAAGAAGCATTCCTTTGTAAGCCTTGTAAAGTGGAGAGAGTTAATGTTGCTGCGATGGAGTGTAACACAAATCAGTGACTGTTTGTCCCTAAAATGTGAGTCATTTCACCTCGAGGGACGGTGATTCTTCTACTTAGTGTGTACGAAAACCACGGTTTTAGATACACTAATGGCGACTTACACCTGTACTAAACATGTATTTTCACGACATGTCAATGATAGTATGCCAGTTCACACATCAGGAAACACCTAATACTAATATATTGTACGAAGATAGTCGCCAACATTTACTACAGTGCTGCAATGCGAATCTGTCTTTGTTAGCTCACCGTGGGCAACTGATGCTTCGTGTGGCACCCTACCCGTTATCAACCTCTTTTATTTGATGTGGGAAGATTAACTAAAAGGTTTTTTAAGGGAAACTGTCAGTAGACGATTAGTCAAGACAATTATTATCTAAAACTCTGATTGTCACTCACTGAGCTACAATAGCCTACCTTCTTTATTGTTACAGAGTACTTAACCGTTGATTCCCTTCGCTTATTACTGTCAATCAAGTTTTCTAACGCATCATAAAACTTCTTCGTAATAACTTAAAAAGTTTATGAAACTTTAATAACTTGTTTACATCCCGTTGACGTAGGTCTTTGCGTTTCTGCGTTCTTCGTGAAGCCGCCTCGTCTTCCCTAACTTACCCCACATGTTAGATGGGGAGAATTACATACTGGGATGCAACATCTCTTTACTCAATTTATCAACGCAGGTGGTGCGGCAGCTCTCTGCGTGACAACCAGACATTTAGTTTATTGCCATCTTTTGCAACACTCATCAATTCTTTATTATATCTTTCAGTCAACTTTATACATCGTCTGCTTCCAAATAAATTACACTTATTCAAAAAGAAAATACGTGAAGGTTTGTCAGTGACATAATAATTATCTTTGTCCAAATTGCAAGACAGCATACCTTCGTTTTATAAAAGAACGTATGAGTGCCAAAAAAAATATGTCTCTAAAGCCGGGCCTCGTCTTGAGTTGAGATTTCAATACAGCCGCTCACAAAACCGTCCGCAACACCGAGCTTGTTGGAAAAACAAATCGCGTACACAATTTTGCAACCGGAAAGCAAGCTTTCTTTTTTTTTTACTCGAATATTGCCGTCAATATTCCCGACTTAAGAGCGAGCCGTATTAATTTACGTCCATATTCACGATTTGCGATGTACCTTCAGAGCCACAATAAATACCCTCATCGGTCACAATATCATAAATTACACTTTTTGCAACACGTTTGCATTAATTTAATTGTGTCATGGCCTACGTTTTGCCCTTAACACTGATGAGTCTAGCCTGCTACAAAATACAAGTCACTCTTAATCGACAACCCAAAACCCTCAACCTGCAACATGGACAGGCGGAAGCCTATCATGTGAATGCCAGACAGCGTCTAGTCATCATGCTTACAATCGTCTTAGGAGCTCTCATGGACCGGTATGAGTACGTTTTCTGCTCTGCTCGCGCACACTGGAAGATGGTCAACTTATTTTCTGTTGTGCTACGAGGACCAAGTACGTTAGGTCACTTTGTGCGTTTGCCTGCTATGTCAACCCCATCACATACCAGTTAAAATACAAGACATTCGGGCAAGCTCTTAAGACAGCTATTCACGGCTGGTTTTCTAGGCACAGAAATAACATAGTTAACCGAGCTTGAAAATTCGTTTCCAGTCCCATTATCAAATTAAGTAAATAAAATATACCTTTTGGGGACTTAAGTTACAGAGCCCATATCAGAAGTTTGCAACACCATTACTGTGTCTTTATCAACTGGCGTTGTTGAGGTCCTCACGTGACTCGTCACGTGACCATGCCTGGTCACACGACATAGATGACGTTTGGATGGTGCCATTGTGAGAGTGTAAATGACTATTGTTTTATTCTCTTACACTGGTCACAAAGTGTGGATTCGGAACTACGAATCTTTAGTAAAGTGTGGATTCGGAGTTACGAATCCACACTTTGAGCACGTCAGACAATTGTTCTCCATAATGAGCATGAATAGGACCGTCTGCGTGAAAATTTGCTTTCCAAAAATTACCAATGCATCTTCACTGTCAGATTCTCCGCCGTCACTGCAAAATCTACTCTTAGTCAGAAAGAAATCGTCGTCTGAACTATCCATTTTGACGTAAGGAGCCTACACACAAAATGACTTGGTTGTATGTGTGTACTTGTGGCATACACATGCTAAACACGCCAGGAAAAAAATGTTGCAACCTGACGCCACTTCCGCGCTTGTGTACAAAATCTATGGAGAGTCATTTCAAGTATTTCCTAACAAAATTGGAAACATTTCTCAGTCCCAGATTCATGTCTTATCATCATTTTTGCAACGAACGACCTTCATTGAGATGATACATGAAGGAAAACGTGGCGTCAGGTTGCAACATTCTTTTCAATTCTTCTGTTGACGCAATGGTATAAGTCGAAGAATACACTCGCAAGTGTGAATTTAAGAATTCACTGGGCGCTTAGCGCCTCGTGAATTCTTAAATTCTCCTTAACGTATCCTCTGAACCAAAAGTGCACTGGAGCCCTCGGCTTCAGTGCCAATTTAAAATTCGAATAAAGAATAAAATATGTTAAGGTTGATTGAAGCTATAATGAGGAATTAATTAGTGCTCCAAAGATAGTTATTATTTTTCTATCTGGCTGTCACTTAGTGAACTACCGGACCGCTTTATTTGATGAATTGTGTAAATATATTTGGTCACTTTCACCATTAATCATTTCGGGTAATAAAGGGACGACGAGGCGGGTTCACAGGAAAATTGATGCTTTGATTAACTTTTTTTTAGTATTGAAGTCGCCTATTACAGGGCTGTCAGCCGCTCAAGTTATAACGCTACATAGAGGAACAGGAACATCCCCCTCCCAGCCCCCCCCCCCCCCTCCCCCAAGAAAAAAAATCAATCAATCAATCATTAAAAAAAATATAAAAAAGAAATAGTCAATACAAAATATATTAAATGAGAAAGGTCAGGATCGAGAGGTCAATGATCTGGTAAATTTCAGGACAATGCAGGCTGTGAGCAATTTGGTAATAGATCCATCGGATGTTAGACCCCGTGTAACCCCTTTAGCTCTCAACGACACCTGTATAGAAGGATTCCTAATTTATTGCTTAATAATAATAACCATGTTCATGGAAAAATGTATCCCACGGAGATTAAAGAGCATTGTGTAACGTGCGTCACCAAGTAGTTTCCCTAGCTGCCTGCCTGGCCAGGTCCCGATGGAGTTTAAGCACCTGCGGTTGTAGGCCACAGCACCAAGTGACGTCCAGTACTCCAAATTCTATGGGTTCTGTGCGCTAAGAAGAGGGCGCCCTTTTACCTAGCAACGACGTCCTATGGGCGGGACATTTAACTGGTTCACGCGCACCGTTCCTTGTGTGTGACGCACGAACACCAGGGGATATGTACTATGTACATGCAGTGGTACGGCCGCGCGTCGCGGCAAAATTGCAGTCAGGCAAGATGGCGTCGGTCGGTCAACCCCAACTGTACTTTCTCTGCCGGTGAGGGGGTACTGGTGAACGGAGCGGATACCACTTGGGAAAAGGAACTGGAGCAGCGCACCTAGGTGTGATTGAGTGGATTGGCAGGATAGCCCTGGGGATTGACATGTGGAATGGGAAGAATACCTGTGGCTTTGGGTGGTTGAAAGGCGGCTTTGGGTGGCTATGGGTGGCTCACCGGTCGCTGATCGGTGGAGACTACACCTCTTATTAGCAACAGTTAGACAAAAAAGCAGACAGGATACTTCTTTGACTTGGTCCCACCTAAGCGAAGAAGTGAGGTTTATTCTCTCATCATTATAGGCCAACAGGATCCCCATACATTTGCTTACAATAAATGCACATCATTGCTAAAGTACAGAGGTTGCATTAACCAATAAAAACACAATATTGCTCAGTAGATGACTAAAGCCACGCCCACTAACAGTGCTGGACAATTGGATTCTGATATTCTAGCATGAGTGACTTAGCACTAACAAATGTCAATACACAGTTCACGTTGATGTATTTAAAACGTATAGCTGATAACGTGTCACAAGTGTTTGCTGAACTAATTTGTTCCCATAGGAAACAAAAGAAAGACAGCGCCCTCTATTGACATAGCCAGAAACATATTGCACGTAATAAGTGCCGGCTATGATACTTTGTTCATGTTATATTTATGCTAGCTTTTTGTCATTGTTTTTCGTCGGGATGCCAAACATTCTTCATTTCAGTTTTGTGCAATTATAAATGATCAGGTTTTAGGTTCGCAGGTTATTTATTAGCTAGATAAAATCGATTAGTATGTTAAACCCTACAGCAGAATAGCTTTGTGAACTCTTATATCTCAGGAAAACATCTTTCAATTCTGCTCCCACAATATTTGTTTGGACCAAAACAGTAGTTGAAAAGAAACTCGTCATCTTGTGAGGTTGTTTACAGAGCTTCCCCCTTTTTCAATATCAGTGAGGAGGAATTCAAAAAGAGAATATAGTTGATAAGTTAAAACTTCTGATATATGTGTCGTTTAGAACTAAAATCCGATTGTTAAAAAGTGCGTGACTTCGTCAGAGTAAAGTACATTGTAAGTACAACACCAAGTTACTAAGAGTAAATTCAGCTCGATCGATAGTGCTAAAACAAGTTTACAAAAATATATTGAAAGCAAGGTTTTATTTTGCATAAGACACGTCTTCAGAGATTGTGGAATAAGAGCCTAACTTTACCCACTTTCCATAATGTACCGTATTTTTGTCCAATCCAAATTAAATGGATGTGTTCAGAGCTAGATGTGTTATTTTCTTAATCGTTTTTTTTTCATTGATTGTGTTATTTGTTTCGATTAATGTAATATGTTTAATATTCCAATAGTGTCATTGATTGGGGAAGTTACCCTGCACTGGCAGAGGCAGGTTCACAGTATTTGTGTTAGGATCACTGTCTACAAACTGTTTCTGTATAACATCAAAGGTCTCATCGAGTTGACGTAAACATTATCTCTCATAGAATCAATTGAAGAATTCCTTACTGCATAAAAATGGTCCAAAGTAGTAGTTCTTTCGCAGCTTGAAAATAGGGGAATCTTCTCTCGTGAATATCTCGAGAAAAAAAAATTTCAAATCCCCATGCCCATCCCTAAAACGGTAAAGAATTTGGTGAACGAGTATATGCTTTTAAAACACGATTTGGTGGCCGAAAATGATTCAGTAATAATGTTCAATATATCTGCAAATTTGAAATCAAGTTGAGTTAAGTAACTGCGCTATACGCCTTTAATTATTATTTCCATATCATCTGACCACAGTCAAGCTTTGTTGGTATAATTTTTGCAGGAGATCAACATAAAATGTGACATTTATTACCACACGCAATGTTTTGAATCACGAATATAAGTGATTACATATTCTTTAGTGGTTTCGAGACTAAACAGTGCCTTATTAAAATTTCCTAATGTAAATACAAATTCCATTGTTTCGTTTTTTATCTGAACATTTTCCTTTAAATATAAATTACACACTACTACCACAGACGAGGTAATATGAATACATCATACACTGTTAAAATTTTGAGAAGATGTGCTCTGAAAAGCCAGCCCGTTCTTTTCAGACTTGCGCATCTTCTCAAAAGAGATTCTTTATTAATGGTGTTACCGCAAACCACCCTTTTCAAAAGTTATTTACCACTAAACAAATTCAGAAAGAAATGGAATGTGTTTCGACACAATCAGTTACAACACTATCCAAAAAAACAACAACCACTTTACATCATTTTGAAGATCAGTTTTGAAAGCAGGATGACCAAAGTGGTGTGGTTCAAAATAGATCGACTCAAACACAACTTCAAAACGATAGCTATTGTCAACGTCAATTTCACACCATACTCATTCAAGAAGAGTAATACATAACAACAATTATTAAATGGCTATATAATGTACCGCTAAAACAAGCTTCACGTAGAGTGTACATTTTTACCAAATGTATTTCAAAACATGAACAATTACAGCAATATGTCAATCAAAGTTTACGTGTGACAGTACTTAGGCAAATAATGGACATCTAACTACAAATTACACAGCGATACAAATTGTGCGTTTTCAAAAGTCATTTTTAAGGTTCTTAAACAACTTTAACAAATACGTAAGTTAAATAATCAATAATACAACATCGTCAAAACAAAGTTATTTCACCTGTCAAATGAAACCAAGAAAATAACTTTCAAAATTAGTCCAAAATACAGTTTTCTTCTATCGCTTAAACAAACATTTATAAATACCTAAGACAGTTTACCCATTCCCATTGGTCGAGAGCCCGTCACGAATCCGGTCTTAAACGGATACTATAGACATGGCTGGCTGATCTTAAACACTTTTCCAGTGTCACATGAAATTTGGACTCCAATGAAATTCAATGACTTTTACCGTTTTATTGGTTGAATGTTCACAATCCTCATGTAGGCATTCGCAATACTACCAGTGAGTCAGTATTTCATAGTCCAAAATTCTCAACGCACTCACCACAGCTGCATCTGCGCGTCAATCGCGCAGTACGCGCGATGACGCGCAGTTCTCCATACAATTAAAAGGAGTTATTTACGTCTAACTCACGAGCTGGACACCCCATTATAGCTAGAGGGGTGTTTTGAAAAGCAGAAAGTAAAATGGTTGAACCGAATCGTTGGACATTTCAAATTTTGACTTGTTTTGACTTTTGGACAGTAAAAACAAATGATTTTTTTGTCCGAAAAGGCATTTATGTATAATTACCCTCGGCTTCGCCTTGGGTAATTGTCAGCATTCTAGCTCCAACCAGTCTTAAACATAATGTTTAACACCTCCCAAGCACACATTTATTCCCTTATTTAATAAAAAAAAAAATGTACATTTTCGCATCATGTTTTTCTAAATATCAGAAATTACGGCACTGTGTAAATTGAAACGTCATGGTATATAGGCAACAGTTCTAAAAGGAAAAAAAATGAGTGGTTTCAGGCAACACGCATATTGCATTGCATTTTGAACTTCCGGAGAAAGAGAAAAAAAACAGCGCGTCAAAGAAATTTTGAGAGCTAAAAAGATTGTTTCCGTATACACAATTTAGTATTCTGAATACTTCCTGAAAATAAATTATAACTAAAGCCAAACGAATCTTCGTACTGCACTTTTTAGGGAGTAAGTTCCATATTCATACGAAGTCCGTGTAATGGCTCTCATACTTCCCAGGATGAATCAAAAAAGAAGCCGTTAAGGTTTGCACGGGAACAAATATTGTACCACCAACCACCTCTCTCATCCTCTGTGCAATCGAACTAATTTAGCTTCTCGTTATCTTTATCCTTTGTTGAAAACAAATTGACCGTTGTGTAAGAACAGAGAGTCACCGGCAGTACTTTTCTCATTGTAAGAGTGATATACCAAACTGTAATTCTGTCCTGAAATTTGAAATTCTCCTCACTCGGCCCAGGCTGTGTTGCCACCACATTCCTCCAGATGGACTCTTAGATCCCAAGATCCATCAGAATTACTTAAGGTGCGCAAGCTGTCGCATGACTCGTCTTAAACAACATTTAAAACATAACGTATTTGACCGATTTTGTGTTGTTAGTAACTTTTTGTAAGAATACAATCCGTCGTTTTAATTTCACGATAACGGAGAAGTCAATTTCTTTTCAGACGGAGTGGTTCAAATCGTTTCAGTAATTATATACAATCTAATCTTCATCCTCATTTTTTTCCAGGGAGTACAATAGGCACCTCCATGAATAAAGACCTCGATAGTCTCGCTGTTTTTTTTCCAGGATTAATAATAATGCATATTATTTGTTTTGATACGTATGCAAATGAATATAGTCTCATGCCTGCCCGTGCTAAGCGCTTCACGTCAGCGTTTGTTTTTGTATGTGGTGTCTGGGGTAAACACAGAATCAATTCGTCGCGCTGTGAGTAACGAAAACACGTAGTAATAGCGTTAAACGTGAAAATATGTAATGCACGTTAGAAATAACAAAACCAAGTACTTGTTATTAATCAATCACTTTGCTAAGTGCGCTATCGAATCAGGATACAGGAAGCAAATTCCCATCCCAAGGCTTACTATTGGAAACGAGGTTGAAAACGAAATAAGCCTTAGGAAAGAGGTTGCATCTGCAGTTGTTCTGGCAAATATTACTATTGGAATTGACCAAGAGTGGCACAGGTGAAGGGCAAAAACCTAATTTGATTTACATCACCCCGACGCAAAAATTCCATCTCATGAATAGTTGATGCGGTACCCGCTGCTATGTACATCTGATTCGAGCCGGCCAACCGATCCCGTTAGCTCGGTTGTCGAGCTGTTTCGTTACTATTTTGTTTAGCTGTTTTCAATCGAAAACAGGTTTTGGCTTCTTTAAGATTCTAAAACAATCATACTATTTTTTTTTTAATTCACAAAGCATGTTCATGTGGTTTAATCAAGTCACGGTTATATAGTACAAATTATTTCTATTCAATGTATGTTACGCTTCAATAAGGTAAGAGATTGGAGATGATTTGAGATCGATTTGTTTATAGTTTCAAAATAAATTGGATCCTTCGATGTAAATAGCACGACCATGATTATACTTGTCTAAAAAGCACTGATGTTATTTAAGAAAATTATTAGGTTTGTTTTTGTAAAACTGCATCTACAAGTCTCCATGTAATAAAATATGTTCAAGTCAGATTGGATAAGAATACATGCCTTTTCTGTTAAATGTGTTTTTCCATATGAAAGCGGGCGAGTGTTTGCGCACGCACAGCTCAGAATGTAACAAAGATGCCCGTTCCTTCGTGAAAACGAAAATCTCAGTCGACAGGCACGATGGCGTCTCTTCGTGAAAACGCAAATGCAATTATCGAGATGCCTTCCCCTTGCATCATTAATGTAATTTAGAAATTACTTACGTTTTGCTCACAGAAGCATGTCAAAAATGGTCAAGAACGATGTTTTAATTTAACGAGTAAAAACAAATCGAAACGGGAAAAAAATGTTATTTTTGACATGCCCGTCCCTTCGTGAAAACGACGAAGAATAATGTTCAGACTGAACTATCGCGTGGGCAAAGAAGCTTTCTCAAATACTGACCCAATTGACCAAATTGAGTTAAGTTAATTTTTTTGAATAACGTTTACATCTAAGTGTATGTAGGAGTGCCAATAAAGGCATTTTCAAAAGTTGACGTTGTGTTGTTGTTTTTTTTTACACAGAACGACACGATTAATGTTTTTAGTTTACATTAACCCAAAAAGGGCCGAAGGCGGAATAAAAAAAAAATAATAATCGCAATCCGAGCTGTTTTGACTTTTTAGCCTCGAGTCTTGCACATCTTTTGATACCAAAAACATAAAATTCGGACCACGGGTTGCCGCGCAGTGAAAAAAAAAATACGCGCCGTGAAAACTGACTTTCCCATAATATACGTAGTGTACACAAAGCAGAAATACCACTCGTGCATATGAATAATTAATTAGCCATAATTCCAAAACCTGTGACCTATAGTCATGAAATTGCTTGGGTATAATGTTTATGGTAATTCTCTGCATGTACCGAGTTTCATATTTGTTCGTCACTCGATGGCAGAGATCTCCGGGGGGGATACCCCCCCCCCTCCCCCCGGCTGAGAGATGGTCAAAATAATCCTGCCCTTTTAGAGTTAACGGGTATTTTTATTTTTTTATTGGTTACTCAATTTAAATAAAACATAAGTGGTCTGATTCCTTTCAGTAATTGACTTACATTGCCAGTCGAATCTTCATACTACATTTTTGTAAGGAGTAAAAAAGACCCCTCCATGCAACCCAAATAATACCTCGGTAGTCTCCGGGTTGTTCACGGGACGAATGAAAATACACACTGTTCAAATTAGAATGATAACACGCCTTGTACCACCAAGCTCCGGCCATCCTCTCTGCGCAGTTCATATGTGAACGGTCATTGTCTGCGTCCTTTGTTGAAAATGGCCAGTGATTATGGTAAGTCAGAGAGTCTCCAGCCGTACTGTCCGCATTGAACGAACCAAAACTCAGAAGAAAATCCTGTCCAGAGATTTGAAAACCTCCGTACTCGGCCCAGGTTGTGTTGCCATCCCAGTCCTCTAAATCGATTCGAAGATCCCAAGATCCAGTAGAATTACTCAAGGTGCGCAAGTTGTCGTTGCCGAGCCAAAACTCACCAGCCAACTCACCAAAGCCCACGCGGTAGTCAGCCCAGCCGCGGTAGAAGTCGACACTGCCATCCTGACGCCTCTGAATGACAAGCCAGCCTCCACCGTCGGTCTCCATGTCGCAGTACACCTTCAGACCATCTGCAAATCCCGCGGGGAATATCGTATACATACCGGTCACACTGTAACCTGCCTTCAGTAAACTCCAGCAATCGCTGTACAAACCATCGAAGTACACGCCCGCGTAGTCTACGACCAAGTTATTTGGGGCAGAGACTTTGGTTTCATTGTTCAATTCACACTTGCGATCTCTCTTGAAGTAATTGATTGATTTGCAAATCTGCCAAGAGTGGCACCGACTCACACAGCCGACAAGAGTACCAACTCTACCCGACCAAATTGTGGCATTTCTCAGTGTTCGATTTTCAGCAGCATTGAATTCCTGTGAGAGTGCATGACCACAAGCGGTTCCTTGGGATGCGGGCAAGATTGAAAATAAAGTATAAAACCACAGACCGGTGACAAGTACCTGTCTACTTGAGTGACTCAAAGCCCGCACCTCCTCCATTGTTTCCGATAAGGCAAAGTGATAAAATTTCAACAAAGCAGATCGTGTAGGTCTATTTACACAGACAACTGTTTCCACCGTACAATGCAGTTTTGATATCAGCCCCTACCGCACTGACAGTCACTGGTATTCCAAGCTTCTGGCTTGCTCGATTACTTCCAAACAGGTAAATTTGATTCAAGTCACAAGACCTATGAATTGCGACAATTGTTTGTACGCACGGGTAATAAACATGATGTATATTTCCAATTGTGACCAAACCTGTAGCTGCAGCTGTGGTTATCTTGTTGTATTGAGCAACTTGCATCTTCGATCACGTCACCATAGCAACGTCTATCTCAAAAGAAAAGGCTATTATGTCACACTCGTCCTCTCCAATTAATCATGCACAGTTTCACAGCGTTTATGTTTCTACATTCTTATACTCTGTGGGCTGGGGGGGGGGGGGGGTTCCCAGTGCAACCCCCCCCCCCCCCCCGAACCCACCTCCACTGATATTTTTTCGATCCTTGGCATGTCTCCAATACCTTTTTTTTTTCTAGAAAAGCATTGCTCCGTTTTAAAGGGAATGTACAACATTTGCTTTTGCTGCAATTTTCAGAATTAAATAGATTTAGAGGATTAGAATGTTAAAGGAAATATTGTTAAACTGATTAGTTTCACGTTTTGAACTCGTGGATGCTGGAAACACCAAGAAAACCAATCATGTTCTTGCAGTCCGGATTTCCTTACCCCACTTAAGATGAAACGGAGCAATTTGTAGACTTTGGAGAATTGTAAGGTCAGAGAATCAGTCTGGCAGGCTTGTACCTCTTCACATGTGTGTAATCAATTGCAAAGAAAATGCGTAATAACTAAATATGAAAACTTAGGAGCAGTTTTTGAAAATGAGCCAGTTTTCTCCAACGCTGGTCGGCCGACCAGCGCTGGAAAAATACAATTTTTCTTGGAAATGTCAGCACACCAGGAGCCACGATTTTACAGGATGCTTTAGACTGTCATTCCCTAACAATCCAGTAAGGTATTTCGTGATAATTTGATCATTTTGGTTTTTTTATGTATGCAAATGTTGTATCTTCCCTTTAATTACCAAAAAAAGAGTCGCTTCTCTTCAGGAATTTGGCTAGAATACCTTTTAGATATTTTCACCAATGAGCTGACATAGCATTACGACGCGTTTTGCTGTCTTGTTCTGACAATTCTAATGTCTGGTACAGAAAGTGAACATTCCAGCGTTCATTTACAACTTAACGCGCGATTGGCATTTGCTACAAACACTTGCTCACAAAGATTGTAACAACCGCAAAGTGATTACATTTGTATCAGAACAGATATGGAATAACGTGTATTAAAAAAAAAAAAAATGTTTCCACTGCATCAGGCAATTTTTTATTTGAACCCCGACCGTATTGACAGTCACTTGTATTCTACGCTTCTGGCCCGCTCGATTACTCCTCGTCTCCGAGCAGGTTTCCAAATCAAATAAACGTAATTCAAGTCACCAAAACATATTGATCGAGATTTTTGTTTTGACGTACGGTGATTTGCAATGGTGTAATGTTCCAATTGTGCTCATGTCTGTAGCTGCAGCGTGGTGTTCATGTTTTATCGACCAACTTGCATCTTCGATCAGGTCACCATAGCAATGCGTCGACAAACGATTACCTCAAAACAAAAGGCTATTGTGCCCACGCATTCTCTCCAATTAATCATGCACAGTTACACATCGTTTATGTTTCTTCATTCTTATACTCCGTGGGCTAAGGGAGGGGGGGGGGGGTCCCAGTGCACCCCTTCCAAGAACCCACTGCCACCGATATCTTTTTCGATTCTTGGCATGTCCCCAATACGAAAAAAAATGTTAACAGTGAACATTTAGGGATGCACTCTCTCAGGATCCCACTTATTCGAACCGCCTCTGATTGAGCTTAGATGCATTTTCTTAGCATCAGGGATGGAAGGGTAAGAAACATAATGCCTTAAACTAAGCAGACCTTGACCGATCTTAATCAAACCCAGCACAACCAATCTTTATGAAAAGCTCGTCTAAAGCTATCTCTGGTTAAATATCTCGATGCTAAATGAACTACCCATGAAATACATCACGCCAAACGAATTGAAATTTTACAATTGAAAATTACGGTGATTCAATCCTTAAGTGCGGGAATCTTCACAACTACAATTTGCCAAATCTTAATCCTAGAATTGCGGGAATGAAATTGCAAACTCAAGACAAGTGCGAACAATTGTAGAACGTGCTGAATCCGATTTGAACATTACAAACATGTTCACTCAATTGCTATGTTTGTGAACTCTCGACGAAGACTTAAATACACACCGTATTGTAACTGGGCTCGGAGCTAACACCACATCCAAATCAAATGTTTCACCTGCAAACGTCTTTATAATAATTAGCTTCCACTAACCAATGTACGAAGTAACATCACTTTTACTGCAACACAACCAATGGGAGACTTTTTAAGTCACCGAGAGAGCTAGAGGGCGCCCCTTACCGGGTAAACCCCAGAATAAGAAGAAAAAATCATTGTCTATAGTTGTTTGTTTATTGCGTATCAACGACGGTTTTCGACTTGGCTTGCTGTAGAAACTCACTCGCTTGTCAAATAAAATCATGACGAATACTCCATGTAATGTGCCGCAGTGTTCAGTAAGAGGTGGACATGAATATCCAAAGGAAAGAAAGAGGTTTAATACTTGGCGAGTGGCCATACAACGGGTGAAAGATGACATAGGCACTTCATAACATCAGACTATTAATAGTTTGGAAAGTCAGGTAAGTTACTTAAATGTGTCGATATGTAGGCCTTACTGGGCCTACCACACTTTAAATCAAGCATTTATAATCAACTACTCTCAATTTTTGAGAGCCACATCGCTAATATTAATACATGACTTGGGTATTATGAACATACAAACAACCTGAAGTGGACTTACTTATTGCCAACTATAGACAGCATTCACACCTCGTAGTAGAGTGGCATAGCCCCAATATTTCCAAGAATTGTGCACTTTGTGATAAAAGCATGACATTTCGCATGTTGGTTCTTCATGACATGAAGAAATGTTCATGAGGGCATTTCAAATTTGACCTCTGGTGAACTTTGAGAGTACACACTACTATAAATAACAATAATTCTTCAAAAATTCACTGTCCTATATTACCCCAATCTACGCCATAGGTCGTCGTGCAATGAAAATCATGATCGGATTTGGGAACAATTCATATCTGACCTCTGATGACCTTTGAAAGTTCGGTGACCTTTGTAAACCTTATTTCTAGCCATCTGTGATATGAACTCTTTTAAAACCGAACTTTTAAACGATCCAAATTTAAATGGTACATGTAGGTGTCCACACTATGAAAAGAATGTTTATAGATATGACATCTCATATTTAACTTCTGGTGACCTTCCAAAAGATCATGACCAAGCTATAGACCCAGCTATGCGCCCCGAGGTGGTAAAAACGGCATATCCCACATCACAACATTCAACGATTGTTTTGTTATATCTGAGAAATAAATTAAATCACTTTGAAGTAACCTTTTTTAAATGAAGGTTTTGATGTCCTGCCGGACATGCGACTGAGCGTTTGACGTTGCAGTTCTCATTGCGCAAAGCTAGGTGCCGCGGCAGGTTCCACATGGACCTGTCTCAAGTCAAGTAAAAGTGGGGCAGTAGGGTGTCAAGTCATGGCGGCTTTATTTCTTTCCGTTGGCTTGTCATTTGTAGGCATAAACTTGGACTTTCTGGGGGTCGAGAAAAACATCGTCAATAGCGAATTATTGTAAAAGGAAAGCCAAGTTGAAATTAAAGTTTGACAACCCTTGGATTGTGATTCGTCGACATTCTAACAGTTATTTTCGATCGATTTGTTGATCTTTTTGCGGGCGGCGAGAGTGCGATTGACGACACAAATGGCATGCACAGTCATACTAAGTAACTGCAGTCTATAAAATAAAAAAAATAAACAATGTCTCTTACCTTCCAGCATGTACGATAGAATGCGAATAAATCACAACTGGTTTCACACTCGATATTAAATAAAACGAACAATTCACTTTTAGTTGTTGGGGAAAAAAAAACTATTGGAAATACATGCACTGATTGCATGCGATGGACGCAGACATTTTCCGTTGGTTAATTTGGGCTTGGAAACTGCTTCGCAGAATACGCGCACGCATGATTATCATGTTGAGGAAACACGCTCATTATTGCGTCACCGTTTTCACGAAGGGGCGAATTTCATGAAAATCGTCTGTTTTGGATTAAAAAAAAAAATGGTGAAAATGAATAAAGATATCAATATCTACAACCTGGTGAGGCTATACTTTCAAAACATTAATTAAAATCTTAATTAACCTAATTAAAGAATGGGCAAATTTGCCAAAAGTGCCGTTTTGCGTTTTCACGAAATAGCGAATTTCCGCACTCTATGGTATTAATCAATTTTCAGTAAATAAATACATTGTAATACAATAGTTCGTATATCACAAAGGGGCGAATTCCATGCGCGTGCTTAAACGTTTTCAAGGCGCATGCGCAGTGGGGCAGAATCTGCGCGTACTGTACAAAACATGCATTGACTCAGACCGTAGAAGGGCGAAATCTGCGCGTAGTCACTTTAGCGTTTTCACGAAGGGGCGAATTTGCTAATTGGTCTTTTTTTTCTTTTTCACGAACAGCCACTTCTCTTAATTAATTGATTCTGCAAAACTGATCACCTATTTGTATTAAAATTTGCAACATTTAGGAAGATTAGAAGCTCTTCTTTCCTCAGATGCCTAAATCATGCATATGTTATGCATCTCTAAGTTTCAAATTGTCAAATGAAAATAAAAATACCAACTTTAAACGCAATTTTCTCGAATGTTTGTTCAAACAGGGAAGTACTAAATTCGCCTCTTTGTGAAAACCGTGACGATGAATTTGATTGCACTGCTGCTGCATAGGAACATTTATGACGTACATGTTTTGCGCATAAGCAAGCTTAAGAGTGATTGCTCTGAACACTTAAAGGTACAGTCCAACAGTTGTAATTGTTGCATTATGTTCGTTTGAAGCAGCAAATGTGCTCAAAATCTAAAGAAGGGTGCTAAACAACTAACCTGATGAAGTTTCAGCTCAGCTTCAGCTGTATATTTCGAAGAAAAAAAAACCAACATTCTAGAATCTCGATTTCCGAATCAAAAGTTGCCGAATCATGTTTTGAATTGGGCCTGATTTCAGCGTCCGAGACACAATCTCACTGAGCCGATTGCAGCTACGCGATGTCGCGCACTGATCCGACGAATTATAGCAACCGCGCGTGTGCGTCGTGTCAACGCTTGCGCGCGCTTCGCCGAATAAAAAAAAAACACGAACTTATAACGGACATTTCCAACGATGCGTCTTTGGAAAGGCCTTCTTTCGTTGATTTCTTCAAAATGACAGCTTGCCAGAAAGAACATTTTCGCAGGGAGTTAGTTCCCTTACTATCTTTCAACCAAGTATGTTTTTCAACAATAATTACGTCAGTAACGTTTTGGATAGCTGCAAATGATGGACTTGAGCTTTAAGTTAAGTTGAGCACTAACATAATTGGGGTGCTAAGATCTTTCGTGAATACCAAATTAAGCGCCCCACTTAAGTTAGCGGGGTGTTCAGATTCATTTGTGACTTAAGTATTCTATGAAATTTGAGTTTTGTGAATACGTCCCCAAACATGTGGCCGTCCTAGACGAATGAAATTACAGTATCCAAGTACACAATTTAACAATGTGTTGTATTACTGATTCCGCCGTCTAAATAATTCTGGAAAACAAAATCGAAAAAATGTAAATTGAAGTTTCTGTTAACCATTAGTTTTTTATCCAACCGATTTCTTTCGCCTGCATAAATGTGGCATGGGAAAACCCACCTCTAATGGTAATTGACCAATTTTGACAATTCAAACTTTGACTGGTTCCGAGTCCAGATCACATGAAGTGAAAATTGTTATTATTATTATTTTTTTGTCGGGGGGGGGGGGCATGTTTGAAAGTACATCGGATTAAGTGCACCCCCCCCCCCCTCTCTGTTTGAGCAACAAAATCGCTCTAACTCTTATGAAGGGCACATAACAATATTATACATTTTGAGAGAGAGAAAAAAAAGGAGAAAATGCACACTTTTTGTGCCCAGGTTCAATTCATGTTTTTTTACCGATTGATACCATTTCAGGCAGGGAATTTGTAACCAGTCTTCATTTTGAGCAAGGATTTTTGAGGTCGTTATGTATGTTTCTCGGCAGCTACAAATATTCATATGTGCCTTTATGTTTTTACTGAAGCATTCTTAACATTTAACACCACATATCTGTGACATATACATCCCCCGCTCCAAATGGTTGAATTTCCATCGAGCATTGGAGTTAGGTTTCCCAAGCTAGCCTCGATGGTCTTTACTTGTTAATTGTGCAGCCGATGACCTCAATGCGCATACAGCAGTATTTGTACCACTGAGTAGGCAGGATACGCAGGAACCTGGCCTGGAAGGCTTTCGGGAAAGTGGTGGTCACGTGGGTGTTTCGGTCCGAGTTCCCAGGGAACTGTGAGGAATAAACGATTTTGTATAAAGCATTGTCAAACTAGCGTTAAAAGGTTTGTGGGGACGAGTTTTGGCCATGCAGTTGCAGCAGGATCGACAGAGGGAGCCCTGACCCTACGCCATGCATATTCATAGATATCCAGGGCTTTGTAGGATCAGTTAAAAAAAATAATTAAGGAATGTCCTACCACCACTCGACCACCAAGCTTGCCTCGGACTCTGATCTAGCTTAATTTTCATCAACCCTTTGCACACATCAACATGATGTCGTGGGTTCGAGTCCGAACCGACTGAGTGAGCGTGAGCCTTTTATTTCACAAACCCTCCAACAACATACACTGAGTTCTGGTATACATTGTTTATGAAATTACATCCATGAAAGGGCAAATTAAACAATGCGATAAGACTACCTTCATCGTTGTTCTTGATCCATCATCGGTGACGTCAGTCCATTCTTGCCCATCGTCGCTGTAGGCCACTTTGAACTCTGTCACCCACTGTTGGTGTTCCCCGCGCCCCTGCGTGATAACGCCAGTGATGGTCGCATTGCAACCGAGGTCGACTTGGACCCATGGATTCGAATCACTAGCTCTAGGAGCACTACACCAGGCTGCGGCCCCGCTCGTGACTGCAGAGAAAGCAGATATTCAAACCTACTGAGCACAAAATACTATACTTAGCAAATACATGTTGTAAGTAAAACTGGTAACTTAGCACAAGCGCTGCACCAGGCAACGGCCACACTTGCAAAGCAAGCGGATAATAAGGAGGAAGTATCGCATGGCCAATTTTATGTGTTATTAAAAAAAGGCAGTCGCGAGCTATACACAGACGTTTTGCTGTTAATATTTCCCAATGTATGTGCTTTATGTGTTGTGCTTAGCACCATATGACATTCAGCAATTGAGGAACTTGGCTATGAATGAGTGAGAGACTTGTGCAACCTGTGAAAGTTTTTGAGCACAAAGGTGTAGTTTCAATATTTAGCAAAACAGACTTAACTTTGAACCAAAATCTCACAAAGGAGAGTCTTAAACTATTGACATTTTTTGGTCACCTTTGTGGAATTATTTTTGTTTGAATTGTCTTAATGTTCATCAAATGTAATTGTTGAACGAAAATAACACTACCTTGAAGGTTCAGCCGAGCCCTGGTTGGTCCGAAATCGGCCGGGTTGGGATGCACTGACGACGCCGTTATGCTTGCATCAGGGATGCGTCCATCTTCCATTCCGAAGGGTCCCTGTTCAGAGCACTCCAAAACGTCTGTCGGAGATAGTGGAAAGTATCGATCAGGGTGGAGCCGGGTTCATTAAAGCAATCACAATCTTTTGTTTTAATGGACATCACGGCCGGGCGTGGAATCTTGATCTGGAATATGTGTTTTGAAGCTTGGTATGTTTATATATTTTGATTGGTACATTGACGCTGAAGCTCAATCAGACGAAGTGTTTCAAGTAGTGATTATCATGTTTCACTCGTGCTTCCGTGATAGAATGGAAATCTCTGTATGTAATAGGTTGACCTTTAATTTACATACTACAACACGCGACACCAAGGTCAGGTCATCCACACCAAATGCGAGATGCGAGATGGCAGATTTGGAACACCTTTCTAGCTCGCATTTAACTTTAATAGTGTATCCATGTACGTTTGACGTTTAAACGAGCTAAACAAGTCGTTGTAATGTGATAAATAAGTCGGTTAAACGAGACAATAAGTCGTTTAGACTAATACTTCATATACTATGTATATTCACCAGATGGATTTTTTTTTTCCTTTTTTTGCGTTGGGTTGATGTAAATCAAGATTTCGTCCTTCACCGACTTATATACACACTCTATAGTCGGTGTGTTACCTCCAGAGTGAAAGTTGGGAAAAATCGTTTGGGTGGGTACTTGAACCGACGACTTCCAGCTTTCTAGTGCAGATGTTTTTCCGATTGACCACCGACCTTTATGTCGGTAAAGGGGGAAATTAACCATAATTTGATTTCAACACCACGCCACAAAACAAATGAAATAAATACATTAATTAATTAATTAATTAATTAATCCATCTTGTGAATAGATAACGCCATACCCGCTGCTGGGTACATAAGAATCGAACCAGCCAACCGATCCCGTTAGCTCGATGGTCGAGTGGTCAGACATCTGCACTAGAAAGAAAGCAGGAGGTCGTGGGTTCGAGTGCTACCCGAGTTTTTAACTTTTAAACGTGAGGTAACACACTGTGAACAGTATTTTATATATCGGTACAGGGCGACACCTAAGTTGAGATATACTATGTCCTTGTTCATGTTTGATTTTTGTATTGGTTGGAAGCTTCTATACAAAACGCAAAGCCATGTCATGTTCTTCCTTTAAGTCATACGCTAGCGATTTCGGCGCAAGTTTGGAAAAGGGATGGCACTATCCCATTCAGTGACACTTCTTCTCTGGTGATTTGTATGGCTTAGTATGGGTTGTAAGCATGACTGAGTCTTTGCCGGTTATGTCCGAGTGAAATGTAGAGTGGGCGGACATAAGAGATTAAGTGACTATGATAGGTTGGGTAATCAAATGTGATTAAGGGTGCGAGCAGAGGATTTTGTTCGCAAATCCTCTTGTTAGCAATAGCATGCTTTCGTGCCTTGCTGTTGGGCACTCTTCAGTTGCAAATGGGTGATTCAAAAAAAGAATCGAGGCTGACTCGCGGAAAAGTTGTGATTGGTTATGTTCCAATCATGTATCGTAAGTTTGAAGTGTTGTGGTTACAACCATGTGACTTTAGTTGGTTTCAACTTGTTCCTCTAGTGAGGAGAGCAATTGGGTTTGGTTAGTTTTTTGGAAGAGCCGGAGTAAGTCGGGAGTAGGTTTAACTCTTGATTTTGTTTAGGTAGTTACTTCCGGATATGATTTACGGCTTTTCTGAAAGCAACGAATTATGATTCGGGAAATGTTTCCGCATAGTAGTTTGTTGCCTTGGATTATGTTCCAGTGGTTGTTTATTGCTCGATTTAAGTGACGGTGCGTTATGGTTGGGTTGTATGTCGTGGTGAAGACGGGTGGAGTTTGTTTTGATTTTTCTTCATCCTGAGATTGTATATGTTAAACCTGTGGGCAAGTTTAAAATTCGTGGCTTCCGGGTATTTTCTAGCGTTTCACTAGAATATGATTTCGGATGCCAATTGGTGGTTGAAAGGATGGTTTTTAGAGCGTATGTTACGCATTATTGATGTAAATTGTAGTCTTCATTCGAAATAATTATTGATGCTGCTTACGAGTGATTGCGGTTTGGTTTAGCAGAAGTAGGTAAGATGTCGAGGCCTTGTCCAAAGAGCAAATATTTCGGTTTGCGATGGTTTTGCTTTGGATAGGTTGGTTATGAAGGATTGATATTTTGTTCTGCTAATGAGCGCAAAAGATTGGAGTTGGCTCGTTTGGTTTTCGATCGCATTTGTGAGAGAAATGGTTAGATTTCAGTTGATTTATTGGTCTCTTGGTTTCTTTGTTGAGTTTTCTTCTTGCCATGGTAGTTGAAGGGTTTGTGGTTGAATATAACGAATAAGGTAAGATGGGGTGGGTTATATTCCAGTTTATTTATTATAACAATAATAATAAAAGCAAGCTAATGGATATTTCTCTTTTGAGAGGTTGTGTTGGTCCTGAAAAGGACCGTTTGGTTTAGTAGTAGGAGACCGACTAATATTGTCGTTTTCTTTTGATGCCTTTCGATGGTTGATGGGGTCTTGTGAAGAAACTCAGTAACTGCTGAGCGGTGGTGTGATCTTGACCCTCGAAAGTAGCAAGCTGTTCTTGTGCAGAACGTCGGGCGTTGGTCAGCTCGGCCTCAGTGTAGTGAAGTTGGTGTTGATACTCCTCCAATGTTATTCTTGTGAAAAGCAGCGATGTTCTTTTCTGGAGATTGCTCCAGCGGTCCTGGAATGCACCCTGAAACTTCAGAGATCTGTGAGGACGTGGTGGCCGTAGATTTACCTCGATGTAAGGTGGTGGTGTGCTAGTCTCAATAGCCCGGGAAAGGAGCCGTATTTGGCGGGTGATGTGACTCTTGGCAGATGTCAATTTGTTGACTTTTTCTGCTAAGAGTTTCACCTGTTTGAATCTTTCCTCGGGGAGTCTGTGTGAGACTGTAGTTGGTGTGAATTGTGATGTGGAGGGGCCGGAGTCTAACTCACAGGACAGGAGTAGTGAATCGTCGTCGCTTGGGATGCTAGTAGGGGACCGTTGTCCGCAGGGAATATTCGATGACATGGAGCTGGATGGCGATGGAGGCGGCTGGCTGGACTTGTTCTTCTTGCTGCTTTTAGATTTGCTGAGTTTCGACATTTTGCGAAGTGATGGTTCGTTGGTTTTCTCTCAGGGTTTATATGCACGGTTTGCGTGCGTGAGATGGCGCATTGAGCCGTGGCGGTAGTGAATGGTACCATATGTGTGTTGTGATTGGTCACTGTATTGTCCAATGAGCGTGCGGGTGCAGTGGCGCGGAAAACCTTGCGTGGGTTTTGGATTCGTAGTGGAATTTCTAGCCAGTAGTGTGTTTGTTTTTAGTTTTAAAAGCCGTATTTTGATTATTTTCTGTGTCAGAAAATAATTGAAACTTGTGTAGGCTTTTAGATATTGTTAATCTCTTTCAATTGGTAGTTGTTTGAGTAAGAAACTATCTTCCTACCGTGTGCGGTATCGGAAAAACACGTTGTGTTTCGTTGTTTTTTTCTTGATTTTGTTAATATGAATGCATATTTATGTGGAGATGGTACTTTTTCTTTCCCAAATGTGGGTTGTTTATTTTGTTTGTACCATTCAATGTTGAGATTGATTTACGATTTTTTGGGGAGGCCAGTACTGTTTTGAACCCTTTGTTTTGGGGTTAAATTTTGTGGGTTTTTGTCTTGTTTTGTGTTGTTTGGTGTAGAATGGGTATAGTTTATCCGACTGCGGATAATTTGTATGTCCATTTATCAAGTGCTTGTGCTTCTGCTAGCATAGCATTTTTATGTTGTTATAGCAAATCAAGATGATGTTTTCCGTATGCGGAAATATGGTTGTTGGTTTTCCGAATTGAAGTGTACATGTGGTGGAACGTGAGATCTTTTGTCTCGTGTGTGGCAGACTGATTGTTACAAATCTGTGGGTGTACTTGAAGTACTGAGAAACAGAGATAGAAGCAACCTGAAGATACCTCGCTTGTTAATCAAGACGGTATTCTCGGGCAGTTTTTGATGGCCATCGACCCACAGTACCCCGGGGTGGGGCAAGGAGTATAACATAGAAGTTTGGAAAAGGGATGGCACTATCCCATTCAGTGACACTTCTTCTCTGGTGATTTGTATGGCTTAGTATGGGTTGTAAGCATGACTGAGTCTTTGCCGGTTATGTCCGAGTGAAATGTAGAGTGGGCGGACATAAGAGATTAAGTGACTATGATAGGTTGGGTAATCAAATGTGATTAAGGGTGCGAGCAGAGGATTTTGTTCGCAAATCCTCTTGTTAGCAATAGCATGCTTTCGTGCCTTGCTGTTGGGCACTCTTCAGTTGCAAATGGGTGATTCAAAAAAAGAATCGAGGCTGACTCGCGGAAAAGTTGTGATTGGTTATGTTCCAATCATGTATCGTAAGTTTGAAGTGTTGTGGTTACAACCATGTGACTTTAGTTGGTTTCAACTTGTTCCTCTAGTGAGGAGAGCAATTGGGTTTGGTTAGTTTTTTGGAAGAGCCGGAGTAAGTCGGGAGTAGGTTTAACTCTTGATTTTGTTTAGGTAGTTACTTCCGGATATGATTTACGGCTTTTCTGAAAGCAACGAATTATGATTCGGGAAATGTTTCCGCATAGTAGTTTGTTGCCTTGGATTATGTTCCAGTGGTTGTTTATTGCTCGATTTAAGTGACGGTGCGTTATGGTTGGGTTGTATGTCGTGGTGAAGACGGGTGGAGTTTGTTTTGATTTTTCTTCATCCTGAGATTGTATATGTTAAACCTGTGGGCAAGTTTAAAATTCGTGGCTTCCGGGTATTTTCTAGCGTTTCACTAGAATATGATTTCGGATGCCAATTGGTGGTTGAAAGGATGGTTTTTAGAGCGTATGTTACGCATTATTGATGTAAATTGTAGTCTTCATTCGAAATAATTATTGATGCTGCTTACGAGTGATTGCGGTTTGGTTTAGCAGAAGTAGGTAAGATGTCGAGGCCTTGTCCAAAGAGCAAATATTTCGGTTTGCGATGGTTTTGCT